AGGCAATACAGAAACTTGCATCCACATAAATGTATTTTCCATTGTGATTTGCCTACAAGGCTCCAGGGGCTAGCGAGTGGAATGTGGTGGTTTGAATAAAAATGGCCCCCATAGGCCCATAGTGAGAAGCATTATTGGGAGGTATGTCCTTACATTGCAGGAGTAGATGTGACTTTGTTAGAGAAAGTATGTCAGTGAATTTTTAGAAGCTTATACCTGATACCTGAGGATCTAAAGGTAGAATTCTCAGTGACCTCTGCAGCACCATGTCTGCCCTTGGGCTGAAATTCTTCCCACCATGCTTCCTGTTATGACAATAATGGACTAAACCTTTGAATTGTAAGCCAGCCCCAATTTAATTATCCTTTTTAGTAGTTGTGGTGGTCATGGCTCTGTGTGTGTGTGTGTGTGTGTGTGTGTGTGTGTGTGTGTGTGTGTGTGTGTCTTAATCTTATGAAATCAAGATTACCTATAAATTTTTTAAATATCATCGTTACATATCTCCTCCTTCTCGTTTTCTCTGTTTATTCAATTAGCACTACTTTTCCCTTTGTCTGTTCACCTGCATGCCCCCACCCCTCTATAATGGTCACTCTTTTCAGGCTGGCATTGGCTCGCCCTACTTTCCTCACTTTATGATTCCTTTAATTCATGAACTCAAATCAAAGGATTCAGATTTTGTTGAGCCCTCATGGATCCCTTCCTGGTGAGAAGGAATAGAGTGGGGTGGGCTGTGGAAGGTTATGTGGGGCAGGAGGAGAGGTAGGAGGGCTGCTTTTGGAATGTAAAGTGAAATTTAAAATAATAAAGTATATAATAAAAAATTTGGGCAATTATATAACCAAGTATGGTTTATTAAGGAAGAAGGATTTTAACATTAACAGAAGTCCCCATAAAGAGATTGATTAACAAACAGGTTTAATATGTGTGTCTATATGCATATATCAATTTCATATACTTTGATTTTTAATTGACTTACAATATTTCAAATGCCAAGTTTTTATTTCAAATTATTCAGAAATCTTATTTTAAATGATGAATTATGAAAACTGCATTTATTTTACTCTTTTATAATATTATCAGTCCTGAGATCATATAAGTATATATGATATTAAATGGGTCAGGAACTTATATTTGTATATTTAGGAGTGAGTGTGTGTGTGTGTGTGTGTGTGTAGATAAAACCAAGGAAAAATGTCACAAATTTGAAAGTAATGGGAATACAATAAAGTTTAGAGGGAGAAAAGGGAAGGAAAGAAAATAAGCAATTGTAAACTCAATAACTAAAGAGAATGAAAATATTCAATAATTTATATTTCAGGCAAGTAATTTTCTCATAAGTAGATAAATTCACAGGCTACATATTGAATATCAGCGACAATAACGGTGGTAGCTGACATTTAGTATAAAACATCTTTTATATCTTGGTGAGCAGCCATAGCAATAAAGCCAGAGATTATTTTTTTCACTAAGTCTGCTTTGTAAGAGAATGGGACAGGAAAATGTGGCAAGGTCACAACAGAAGTTCTTCTACAGAGCTGGAATTGGACTTGGAGGAATGGAGGGAGAAGCAAAGGTCTTCGTGCTACTTGCTTCCCTATATGAATGGTCTGTGGGTTCTCAGAGAATATCTGCTTGGTTTGAGTGCTGGGATAAAGTCACAAATGGGGTTAGGGAGTTTAGAAGGGAATTATATCAACATAATAAGTGAGGCAGGGTCTCATTAGTCAAGGCTGTCCTGGAACCCACTACAAAGTCATAAATATTCTTGAACTTCTGACCTTGCTTTCTCTATCACCAGAGAAGTTTGTTATTTTCAAAACACATAAAAATATTGTTGGGATATTATTGAATTTATATTTCATTTATCTGACCAGATATTAATTTGAACAGCTAGTTTGTACAGATGAAATCTACTATTAAATTGGCCTCTAGTTTCAATTTAAATAATGTAAATTTGCTAGTGTGATTTCTTCTAAAAGTTACGATGATTATAATAAATGCAGAGAGGATGGAAGGCATTATTTTGGGGTAGAAGAATCTTTTATGCCTGGTAGTCTGACTGTTTTATGTAGTCAACAGCTAATTATATGGCCATTATGTATCGAAAGACATGCCATGACTTGAAATGAATGCTTCAACCAGAGAAGTCACACATTAAACAGAATGTTAGTGCCCATGATATGGTGACCTGTTTTAGTATAATCACCATTATTAAATTATAATTTCCAATTAGCAAAAAGGCACACTTAGACAAATACAGGGCAATGTGTCTCCACCCCACAGATGTGTTTTATCGCATACCAACCTTGATAGTAGAGATATCTGATATCAATAAAGAACTACCATGATCAAAAATAATTAAAATATAAATAATTTCAAATACCAATGCATCATTATTTGTAGGTGTTCAAAGAAGATATGGTATAGAGAGAAAATAAATGCAATGACAATATGCATTACCTTCACTGAAGGTCACCACTGTTGAAGCAAAGCTATGTTTTGGAGGCCATGAACAGCTTCATTAGCTTGTCAGAATAGATCCTCAACTTTCCAATTTTCTGTAGCTCTTCCCTTCTTGCTTCCCTGTGTGCCACTCTCTGTAGCAACAGTCCAGCTCATTCATGACCTCACCCCTGTTGTTTTTTAGCCACAGTGCAGGGTTCTTGTCAGAATGCTAACACCTTCTTGGCTCGTGATGCAGTGACAACTGAACCTGTCTTTATTGTTGATGGTATTACAGACTCTTCTTAGAAGAAAACATTCTTGTTTCTTGTGTTCTCTGTTACAATTTCATCAACTACTAAATCACAGCACTCTTATACTGTTTTTGCTGTTTTCAGGTGTATACTTAATGTTCATATGTCCACAGAATTATACAGTATGAGATATGTTACAAATTATAACAATTATTCAGAATTGCTGAGATGCTGTTTGCCTGATTGATTAAAGAAACATTGTTCTTAAGATGCTTAACATTCAGAAATAATTGATGCTACATGTAGTTTGAAAACAGTAAGGTATTTAGGTTTCATCAATAGACTATAAAATATGTCAGTGAAAGTCCCTTTAAGAGTCTGTCCTCATTATAATAAGAATAAAGAATGCTTGAATAACAATGCCATAGATGACAATTTTATATTTCAGAGGAATTAGGGGTTGTGTCTAGAAAGTTAACTGAAAAGATAAAGTGTTCATTGCATAAACATGAGAGCAATATTCAAGCAAGGATGTTAATACCCAGGAAATGGTGTTAGTATGGTACCCTAGCAATGAAAAGGAAAATACAGAAGATCCCTGGAAGAGATGGCCCTTCAGTGAGTTTCTAGTCAATAGTAGACCTTGTCTGACAAAACAAACAAAATGAAACAGAAAAAGTCCACATAAAACTAAGATTGAGGTTGCCAGCTGGATGACATCACTGGTAGATATAAACATTTTATTACTAAGGAGGCAGGAGTCCGGCCCATGTTCACACAAGCACCACAAACCACACCCACATATGCCAAAAGGAGTTAAGACCAGAATAATAAATAGTAAAGTTGACAAATTCTGAAAACGGAAATGTTTAGTTGCAATTTAGTGCCAAGGTTACTAGGAAATTTACAGATATACCAAGACCTCACAGGGTAGGAAATGAGGTCTACTAGTCAGGCACAAATTTTGAACTAAAGATTTATCAACAAAGTTTCTTGATACCATTTATCTGTGTTGCCAGTATTTTATCTTATATAAAAAGTTTTCCTATGGGATTCTTGATGCCCCTATACTCACACGCTTTGGGTTTCTGCAGAAAGCTTTCCCCTTTCTGGAACAATAGTGAATGTTAAGTTAACTATTAATCTCGTTTTTCAAACACTGTTAAGTTTCTTACTTACAAAATCCATTCAGATGCACCACAAAATGCGGTTTTATACTTGCATTCATTGCATTTATTGCTGCTTTGATTTAATATCTGTCACTGAGACACTGCCCAAATATAGTATTTGCTCCAAATCACATAAAACTCGGTCACTTTTTATCTTTGTGCTATGCTCACATTGTCTTGTTAGTTTTGAGGATTTTTTGTTTTGTTTTTGTTTTTCTTTTTTGATAAAGCCTATGCCATCTTCTTAGCTCTCTGAAAGTTTTCGGGCAGCAAGTGTCAGAGTTAATTCTATAATACTGGAAGTAACTGCCTTTTTCCTCCAATATATACCTACAAGAAACAAACTGGAATACAAGGAAGTTATGTCTCTTTGTAAAGTCATTCCAAAGCCAAGAATTCAAGGCAATGGTACATTTGCATGTGTTCCTCTACCAATGGCTTGAAACCAGTGACTAGCCTCTCAACAATTTTCAGTACAATGAATGTAATACACACTGTTGTCCTGTACTTATTCATATACAACATATCTGAACTTTCAAAGTACCTTGGATTAAGTGAACACCATAGTGAAAAATTTGGGACCAAGCCAAGAAATTTCTAGGGGCAGAGTCTTTGATATAATGAAATAAAATTACACATTTTAAATAAAATGTTTGCCATAAAGGGATATACAAAGGAATAGGTATAGAAAAATTGCATTTTTTTCTTAATTTTCTATAGGGTCGTTGTTTTAAAGATTTACAAAATCATTTCATGCCTGTGAAAGATGCCAACACCATCATAAGCATTATTACATCTCACTGTCCAGAAAGTTTGCAAGGAAGTCAGGGTGTTATGTATCAGGCCATTTTGCAAACACAGTGATGTTTATTGTGTGTGTTCAGAACTGTAGTTATTCTTTTGTTACTAAGAAATGCAGGTGGATGAGCATCAGTAGTTACAGAAGGAAATGGAATCAGATGTGGAATTAGAAATTAGTTTGCAGTTACCATTCTGAATTAAGATTAATGACAGTACAGGATTCCATGTGTATTATGGAGTCTACCCATTGTATCAAGCAGCTTGATAGGCATTCACTGTGTGGAGTATGAACTGATGTATGCCAGCCTGTGTAACTCCAGGTTTTCATCAGGACAGTGATCTGCTGGATCGGCGGAAACATTGCTTTACTATGCAGTCTGAGTGTGGGGAGGACCTCTACTTCTCTGTGGAGTTAGAGAGTGACCTTGCTCAATGGGAGCGAGCCTTCCAAACAGCCACCTTCCTAGAAGTGGAGAGGATACAGGTAAGAGACAGTGGAGGGCTTTGTGAGGTATCTCGGGACATTTAACCACTTACTGGAGTTCACAAAGTATGTAAGCATAGTTGTGTGAGGTTGTCTTCCATCTCAAATAATTCCAATTTTTAAGCCTTTATTGAAAAAAACTGAGTAAGTTGGCATATCCAAATAATCATCGAAGTATTTTTTCATAAATGGGAACAAGCCTTCCAAACAGCCACCTCCCTAGAAATGGAGAGAATATAGTAGGAGACTGGAGAGCTTTGATCTTATCTAGAAAATGCTCTTGGTAGTGTTCCCTATTCATGAGGTGGTTTCCTTTCTGCAGGCTTGACCACCTAATTTCTAGTATGTGAAGCTTTCTTCAAGGATTACTTCATCCATGGGTCTCAATTTCTATGGTTTCCTCCCAGACTCCTTCCACAGCAGCTCTGCTAATTCTCGCTACTTCCCATTCTGGCACAAATAACATTCACTGTTTCCTTCCTTTCACTACTTCACTAGTTTCTTCAAAAGGCTTACGTCATAACATTGAAAAAAATATTGTCATTGGTTGAAGTCTAAGACAGTTTGCAAGTTACAAGTAACCAGTGGGTATTTACTGAATTGTTGTTCCCCTGTATGAAGCTATATCTAAATCAGCCTTCATAAACCCTTTAACCTCTCAAACACATGGGTATCTGAAATGAGACACATCACAGAATTGGTCCTGTGGTTGACCTGACACAAGTTACAACAAAATTTAAAGTTGATTAGGTTCTTGGCCTTGGAATAGATTCATGGATCAAGCAACAGCACACATGGACACTTAAATTTTTAAACATAACTGAAATGAAAGGAAAATATGTGGATTACATTTAGCTCTTGAATTGACTCATATTTTATATTTCTCTTTTAACTACACTAGGAATAGGCACAATTAGTTGAAAGGATTGGATTTTTGTTTTTGCGTTTGAGAATGTAAATCTACTGGCAGAAAAATATTGTTTAATTTTTATAGAATGAATAACTCAGTTTTCTTAAAGTTGGTCAAAATTAATGATATGGACTGGCAGTACATGCCTATAATCCCAGCAATTGGGAGGTAAAGACCAGTAAAAAAAGTTGAGTGTCATCCTCTGCTATATAAGATCCTGTCTCAACACAACAAAATACAATAAATAGTAAAATATGAGCCAATGAAGAATAGGTAGAAAGGAAGAATACTAATATCTTGACTAATGCTATTGAAGAAGTCATCAGTTAAAGTGTTTTTCTTTTGAAATATACTTGCATTACAAGGACTACAAAATAATGTTTTCTACCTACCAATACATTTATTTATTTATTTATTTATTTATGTTTAGATTCTGTATAATGTAATTATGCAACAATCTTGTCAAGTGATTTATGTTGGGTCTTCCATAACAGAATATTTTTGGTTATCACTTTTTTCATTATTAAATAACTTTTCATTACATAACTATATCAATTAAACAATAAACAAGCATTTTCTTCTTTAAATGTATTAAGTGCATTCATTATATTTATTGACATTTTAAGGTATAGAATAAAATTAGAGTGGATCTCAACTTATACAATTCATTTGTTTCTATTTAATGATTACTGGCAATGTAATTTAATGTTGAACTTGATGAGAAAATTCTAATGCATTATAAGGCATGGAATTCCACCTGGAATCTTCCAGGGGAAGTAGCATACAATTAAGTCTAAATAAAAAAGTAAACAATGTAGACTTAAACAATCCTTAATGTTGATATTAGTTTAAATGAATTACTAATGACTGAATATACCTATTTAAGATGTCTGTGTATTAAGCAAATACAATTGTACCCAAGCACAAACTTTTTATATCCATTAAGTTTGTCTTCTAATCTATTTTAACTCCAAATAAACATTTGTCATTTTTGTAAGTTTTTAATGCCAATTAGGCTTTATTGATATGTATATGATCCTTCTGATAAAAGTAATTCTGTATGTTTACTCATAATTATAGTCATTTGTGATAAGCAATATGTTTTGTATAAATACAATAAAACAAAAACAATATAAGCATTGGATTTTTTTCATAGCTCTCTGATATGTGAATTATGATTACAGTTCACCTAATACAGTAATAAAGACTGAAATCAAATTTAAGTAAAACTAGAAAAGAAGATATAAAAATGTGTCGTGTTGTACATAAGGTCTAAATTATTTCATATTTTGTTTAAGTTGCTTTTATATTTTAGGGTCAATATTTATCTTCCAATATTATTTACAAGTAAAATTAAAATCCAGGGGACCAAATCCAGGGCCATACTCCTCTTAGGAATGTATTCTACCACTGAACATCACTAAGGCAGATACTAACAATTCATGCAGAGAGGTAATGTTATATTCCGTTTGATAGTAAGATTATATCAATCACAAGAAACTAACAGTACTCTCTGTTTTATTCAGTGCAAGACCTATGCATGTGTGCTAGAGAGTCACCTAATGGGCCTCACAATTGACTTCAGCACTGGCTTCATCTGCTATGATGCGGCAACAAAGGTAATATGCACCAGGTGGCATGGGAAATAGGTTGGCAATACTATCAATCCAGGATGAATGAAAAGCCTTTGAAATCCTTGCTGAATTCAAAATAATTGTATGCTGAATTAAGATCTTAAATCCAAAATACAATTTTTATCATCTACCATTGATCTGTTAACTATTATCTATGATTTATTCGCATATTATCCATAATCTATCTACCTACGTATCTATCCCTCTCACTACCTTTAATCTACCCATATACCTTTACATATATATATATATGTGTGTGTGTGTGTGTGTGTGTGTGTGTGTGTGTGGACAGAGTGAGATATATATATATATATATATATATATATATATATTCAGTATATTATTTACATTAGCCATTTTTTATTAAAATTCAAAATTTGTTTGGGGAAAACAAATTAAAATGAAATTTATGTTCCAGGAAGAAATTTAGCAATAAATGCAACTGATTTAAAAACAGTCTTTTTAAAATGGGAAAGTTTGTGTTTATTTAATATGTGTGAATACAGCCAATAGTCTGTTCTCAGTCTTGTTTTACTATCTAGGATATATTTGACAAATATGATCACTTGCATGTTGCTGCTGTTATGAAAAGTAACACCCTCATTAAAATTTACTGTACATACTATATTCTTCACTCCTATGCTACAGGTTAGTAGTTTTCAACATAATTACAAAAAGGTGTAACCATCACCAAATCCACGTAGGGAACTTTCCCTATTCAAAGAACATTTTTACTTATTAGTGGTTACTCTTTCTATCAATTACTTTTTAGAATTAAAATACTTATTTTGTGTGTTTGTACATTTTGTCTACATGTATGACTATATCCCACATGTATGCAGTACTCATGGAGAGAAGAGGATATCAGATCCCCTAGAATTCAAATTGTGAACAATTGTTGGATGTAATATGGATTCTGGGAACAAAACTGGATTTTGTTTATATGGTTTTGGTTTTTGGCCAGAGCAATAAGTGCCCTTCAGTGTTTAATTAAATATTATTAGGTCATTTGCATTCTTTCTCTTCTCACCCTACCCATACTTAATCCCCCATTTCCTCTCAAATTCATGGTCTATTTTTCTTTAATTGTTACTGTTTTACACATAAACATGCATGTACATACATAAGTTAATACATATATTAATATACCCTGCTGAGTCTGTATAGTTTGCTTGTGTATGTATGTTTTCAGGGTCAATTACTTGGCACTGGATAATGATTTAGGGTACTCATCCCTGAGGAAGTCTTTAATTGCCAGTACCATATTTATATATGGGTGGAGCTACATGAGATTTCCCTTTTATATTAGCATGTTTATTGGTGTACTCTGATCTTGTTTAGGCAACTATTTTCTTGAGATTGTTATGTGTGTAGCTTCTTTTTCATTTCTAAGAGACACAAACTCAAAGCAAACTTTCTGACTCTCTGGTTCTAACATTCTTCACACTTGTACTTTCATGGTGTTTCCTGAGTGTAGAGTTGCTTTGTAGATGTTGGAGTCCTCAACATTTTATTCAGTCATTCTTTTCTGTAATGGCCTCTGCCTGATGTGTGCAGAAGTTTCATTGATGAGGACTGAGAGATACACTTATTTGTTAGTGTCAAAATGAGCAAGGATTAAATTGGTCTAGTAAAGAGTAAGTAGTGTGTTCTCATCTAAGGTCCATGAATTCACCAGCATTGAGTAGTTGGCCAAGTTTCTAATACAAGACATCGTTTACCTAATGTTGAGTGGGTCTTTGGTCCAATTAGATAGATGTAGGTTACTACTAATATGTGAGTGTTACTGTTATCTCCTTAGGGATATTTGCAATGCTAGTCAATGTGGTTGATGATTGTCATAGCTGGAAATATTGGTTGTTTTCCACTCTTGAAAACCTGTATAGAATCTTTTGGAACTTTGAAATTTAGTCCTCATAGAGGAAGCTTTTAGGTCAGTCAGGATGTAGTACATATTGAGCAATATTTCACTTATACTACAGAAGGCTGCTCTGACTGGGGTACAAAGAACATTGGTGGGTATATATTTATTTTTTTATCACTGATACTGAATGTAATTCAAACATTTTTTTGAATGAAAAAAAATTAAAAGTATTTTGTCTCTGTATCTAACAGTGGATAACTGAACCCCAGTTATTACCCAGAACATGCAAGAACCTAGCCCCAAGACTTACCACCCCCTCTTTCCTAAAGCACAGGAGCATTTTATAGCCAGTAGCAAATAGAGTAAATATATGTATGAAGCATAAATATCCAAGCTAATGAATAAAACAGAAGTCTTCACTCTTCAGCCTGGTTAAAAGTTCAAGTCAGTGTTATTTGTTATTGATATTCCTTGGGACCATTTGCTGTCAAGCATTGCTTTAGTCTATTAGGCATTCATTATTTTTGATGCTAGTACATCAAACTTGAAATAAAATACACACAAAAAAGTGGCTAATACAGGCCACTTAAGCCATTTTTTGATGAGAGATATCCTGTAGCCAAAAATAACCTATAATATGTTAATATTATATATTTAAGATCATGATTGACTCATATGTTTTGAAGTAATAACCATGTAAAATTAATAATATTGGTAGGAATTAGTTTTGTTGTTAAAAGCTAAGCTCATAATCCTACATTCTTCCTCTCTCCATTATTAATTTTCCTCAGATATAAAATATAAACATTATTTTTGAGACTCTGTAAAATACATGTCATGTGTAGTGCCACTAATTCATGGAACTTGCATCTTATAAAGTAGAATTTGTTTGGGGCATGACATACTTCAGTTAGAAACCAAGATGGAGCTGACATGTAACCCTACACCTGGAGCAGACACTCTCTTAGCACTTAAAATTTCCAAGAGAATAAAACGATTAATAGTCCTTCTGAGCTAAAAAGTCTACAAACTGCAATATCAACCCTGAAAGGAAACATTTAGTAGTGAATATTAAGAAAGAGTATAATATTAATAACCAAATCTGTCTGATTGGATTAAGGTCTGCTTAAGTGGGGAGTGGAGGGATCCATCCCTGATAATGTAAAACTAGACTACTATTCAAGGTGGTGAGGTCAAATACCCTAAATACAAACATACTAGTGCCATTTTCTGAAATCAGTAGTGTTTCTAACAGTACTCTAAATAATTATCCTTATACCTGAAATAATATATCCCTCACTCTTCAACAAAGAAAATTCTTTTTGTAGTAGGTAAAGGCCAAGACAAACTATCTTACCTGGTCAAAATGCAGAGAATAGGTAAAAATGTGATTCCCCAAATGGTTGGTGTATGATAAAACCCTTAAGGCTCAAAGAACATCCCAGGGAGAAAGAATTAACAGCCAGAATAATAGGACTTCTATCAATGACAGTGTAACTATCTCAAGAAATCTCAAAACTATGGTTATTTAAATAAGACCAACATAATGACAATACCAGTTGGTATTTCAATGTGAATGGAAAAAATACCAATGTATGTTTGTGCATATGTATCTGTGTGTGTGTGTGTGTGAGAGAGAGAGAGTGTGTGTGTGTGTGAGGGTGTGTGTGTGAGTGTGTGTGTGAGTATGTGTGTGAGTGTGTGTGTGTGTGTGAGGGTGTGTGTGTGAGTGTGTGTGAGTATGTGTGTGAGTGTGTGTGTGTGTTTGTGTGTGTGTGTGTGTGTGTGTGTGTGTGTGTGTGAATTTGAGTAGAAGTTGGGAGGCATGAGGAGGGAAAGGACAGAAAATTTGACATAAATTCTGTATTCACATATAAAATTTTCAAAAAAATATGGAAATGATTCAAAAATAAAATAAAACCAGAGAAAATTATAATGGCATGTCTAGGTAGAAAACTAGAAAATTAGAGAGAATACAAACTGTACTCAAAATAAAGGTTATGAGCACTCAGCCTGAAAGAGTACATCATTGTGTTGGACTTTTTGAAAGCATGTTTCTATAATTACAACATAAATTCTGTAATATTACTCTTTATGGTACTCATTCTATATTTTTAAAAATTATTTTACATTGAAAAAGTTGTTATGAATCTGGAAATAAAAAATTAAATATTGATGTGGAATATTCTTCTTTATGTTGTGAATATGTGTTGCTTTTATTGGTTGATAATTAAGCTGATTTGATCAGTGGTAAGGCAGAATATAGATAGCAGAGTTATGGAGAAAAAAAAGCAGTGTCAGGGAAATGCCATATAGCCACTGCAGGTGTGAGATGCCAGGACGTTACTGAGTTAGTAAATATGGATTAATTTAATTGTGAGAGCTAGTCAGTAATTGACCATTGACCAAACAATTGTAATTAATATTAAGCCTCTGAGTGCTTATTTCAGACCTGGTAACTAGAAGGAAAGCTTCAATCTATACAGTATGAAAGATGATGTTTCTTGGAACTTTACCTTACACATGGAGCCACTCAGCTATGACAGTACTTGTATAAAATTATGATACTATGTGGCTATGATAGTCCACATATTAAGTTACCATCTTCCTGTTAACAACTTAACCCTGTAACATATATCTCACACACAAAAAAAGATAAGTTACTACCTTGTTGGACATTTTAATGTTACTTTTCAGATAAGTCATCTGCTTTTGCTTTGAAGAAAATGAAGAAAATGTATTTATTGTAAAAACAGATGCAAAACCGTATGCATTTACTGAAACAATTCATCGGATAATTCTTTTCTAAAGCTCAAGTACTTTAAATCTGACCTAAACTAAACACTCAAAGGGATGTATTAATTGAAAGTTTATGTGAATATTACTCAGATACAATCATAAAATTCAGGAATTTTTTCATATGATTACAAAATGGAGTAATATGAAAATCAAGATACACATTGATAATTCAAAGCACATATGACATCATGTAAAAACAATACAATCTTTGCTAAAAATAATAACTATTTTTTATATTTCTTGTACTTCACACCTTTATCATTTGAATTTCCAAATAACTTCTTTTAGGATTTGATATACTTTTTTACAAAGAATACTAGAC